AAAAGCTACCTCCAAAAAAAAATAAAGTATAAAGTGAAGCCCAAATACAAATAAAAGAGGAATTTTCCTCCTTGTCTCATGGGGCTTCCACATGTGTAACCAGGACAAGTATCACATTATTTTGGAAAAGGTACTTGCACAACACATGAGTCACACTAAACAAGTTATAGGGATCTGAGTTAAATTCAAATTTTAAATCTATTGGTGATAGTTAGCTAGTAATGAGAGTAGATGGATTGATAACTAGACAATTCAGTTGTTGAAATTGAAAAAATGAGTTAACCTAAACTCTACTAGATTATGATTTATGAATATCTTAATATGAGTAGGTGAAACTTTCTAGTGACGATTTGTGAAATGATAGACAAGTTAGTTGATGTGTGGGGTGAATATCAATATTCACTTCGGTCAAATTACCATGTTAGAACTTGACATATATTCCTACTAAGAGTCTAGTAGTAACTCAAGTTGAGGGGTGTGATAACATCTTGACAGTCATCTCATATAGTCAAGTTGGAACCAGATGTTGTTCATGTTGGTCTCGATCTCCTTGGGCCCCACCACCACAATCAGTGGCATCTTCTTCTTCTTTGCATTTTTTTTTTGAGCTTCGACATCCACTCCACTTGGTAGGCTTGACTCAGATCCCATACGATTTCAGCCACAAGAGGACCTTATTTTGCTTGGAATGCTAGCATACGTGAATGGTAAGATATCATCAATCCTAGACCCAAGCTTAGAAGCTGCCTTGAATGGTGATGTATGTACAAATTATATAGCCGATTTTAATGCTATGTATTCAAGAAAATAACATACAAAATAATTGCATGTTTTGTTGAAGATTGCCAAGGTCTGATAATATTTTGGACCATAAGCCTAGGAGTTTGCCATCATATTTCATGATTCAAAATACAAAACCTTGTTGATGGGTCCCTATTGTACTCTTTGTGATGTGAGAAAGACAATTGATTGAGCCAAAGAAATATTTTGTATGGGTGCAATAATGGGAGAAGAAATTTTTTGGAGTTGAGATTGGTCTTCTGTTGGGATTCAATGGGCTCTTCAATCGAAAAATTTTGATTGTCAAAGGAATGTTTATTCTTTGTCCTATAGAGTCTTAGCTAGATCTTGTGTTTCAGAGGAGGCTCACCATCATCTCATATAGTCAAGGCATGCAAAGGCTTGTGGCATCAAATAATTGTATAAGATGATCTCTAGGAGAAAACTTGATTTGTATGAGGCCGTGGATATAGGAATTTTCTTTGTATCAAGTAAGTCTCATGTTTTCCTTCTCTTGTGTATCAATTTACATCAGACTTCCGCTGTGCAAAAAGGGGGAGAGAACTAATATGAGTTGGAAGTAATGGAAGAAGCCCAAGCCTTCAGCCCAATGAAAAGCTTAAGTCTTATGGATAAGGTCAACCTAATATATTTATGGGCCCAAGATAAGGCATCACTTTGGCTTAATCTATTTAGACTTAAAAGAGCTATCAAGAGATGAGATTTAAGCCATCCATCTTAGAAGACCTTAAGATGAGATTAAGAGAAAGATTAGAGCACCATTCTCATGGAATGATCTGAGCCATCCACTAAGAGAGTCGATTATTAATCTTAATCATCCATTAGAGGAGCCTAACTCTCAAGAGGATTAAGACATCTCACCCCCCTCTTGTGGGGTGCTTTTTGACTCTTTCTAGTAGTGGCTAACCGAAGGAAACAAGAGAAAAATCAAGGCCTGATTGAAAGTATTCTTGTGCCCAAGATCATCATGGAGAAGAGATTACTTATAGTGCATCATAATTGTCACGAATCAAACATCACTTGGCCTAGGACTGATGCACAACAAAGTTTGTGCAAAATTTAAATTTGGGACGTCTTTGTAATCTTCTTCATAGATAGATTAACTTTTAATTTGAATTAGTTTTATCATTTATTTTATCATTTTATTACTTTAGATTCATTTTCTTTCCTTTGTCACACTTTTCATAACTCTTATCTTCATCTTTTTATATTTAATTCTACCTTTCATAGTCTCACGTATATATATATATATCTATATAATAAATAAAATAAGTAGAATTCATACTCTCATTACTCACATTCTCTAAGGATTGACCTTTACTTATCCTAAATAGAAGAGTGAGGTTTTATAAATATTATTTGCATGAACTTGGTTGCATCACGATTACGTATTTAATTTTCACGTTGATTTCATCAAATAGGAGAGTATTTTAAAAGGTAAAACTACTAGAAAAAGTGTTTTTATTATGGATATGAGAGAGAGTTGAATCAATTAATAGCCATCTAGTAAAATTACGTAAGATCAGTCAATGATCTTTTTAGAAATGAGCAATCATCTTGACTTTTTTGGGCTCTCATTATGGCCTACTTAAGACCAAAATGATCATCATGGATGTGGGCAACATATTCCTTACCTTAAACAACCATTAGGATGAAATGTTAAATTGAATAGGCTATCATTTTCATGGAGATGAGTGAGATTGGACTTAAGTGAGGTAATTAATGAGCCCAGTTGGATACATTGTAGTAACTATGTGAGGGCTGATTTTTTTAATAATTTTGGATCATAGGCTTTCTAACATGTAAAAAAAAAATTCTAGAAGAATCTAAATGTATTATACTTGAAATTTAATTCTCATACATTGTTCATTTCTAACTTTTCTTATTCAGTAGATAGACCTACTCTAACTTACAAATGTAGAGAGTCTATCATGAGTGAAGATCAAGATTATCATTTTACTATGTGCAATTTTTACTTTTGGATGGGAAAGATCATAGTTCAAATTTGTGTGAAATGATAGATCACTGCTCTTTGAATGATGAGAAAAAGTCAAAATCATTTACGATTGAGTGACCTCAATTGTTATTACCCAAAAAAGAGTAAGGGGAGAGACCTTTAGTATAGGGCAGGAAAGCCACTACGATGAAAGGCACACCTGAATTTTTAATTATGTTTCAAATTCTTCATTTTGAACTAATTTACAAAGTATGATATTGATGGTGAGAAATGGTATATGATACATGTGATTCATACATAGTAATGAGTATATTTTAGATACTAAATGATGATAAGTTTATATTAAAGCACATGTTATCATCATTAATTCAGGAAATATAAATTTTACTTTGAATGCATGAAAATAATAGGAACTAGTTATTTTATACTTAATTATTTAATGCATTTATTTAACTATTATTTAGTTTGAATTTTAAAGTAAAATTTACCAAGCACGGTTGGGTGGAGAATTCTGATTTTTACTGAAGTTTTAGGAACTTTTGGAGCACATTTGATGATATTTCTGCAGGGTCAAACTTCAGAGTTTACATATGGATAAAACTGTAAAAAGAGGAAAATATGAAAGGTAAAACCATCAATCCACGCAGACAGCGGGCAGCGAGGGGGCAGCCTAGGTGGCAGGCCCGCACTGAGTGGCGCCGAGTGGCAGTCCCAAGTAGGCAGCCCAATAATTGTGGGCTAACTGAAGGATGGATCATGGATCGTTGGGCGACAAATTGGAGGCGAGAAGACAAAAACGAGAGTTGGAGACTCTGCAAAGGGCATCTTCAGTTTCGTCTTCTAATCTTGCGTTGGAGGTTACAGTAGTGCCACCAGTCGACGCCGCCGCTGTCCCTGGTTGATCCCACACCACAGCGACGTATCTTCGTTCCGGGGAGCGCAACCGCGGAAACAAGGCCTGTATTGGGCACATTCGTTTGATTTTAGCCCCGTCGTGTGACAGGCGACAGGGGGGCCGTCTTTGGATTTTTCGTGAAATCTATTCTTTGTAACTTTTGGGCATTTTTCGAATAGTTGCATCGTCTTTTGTTTACGACGCATTTAATAATTTTTTCAAAAAAAAAGCTCAGAATCATTCACAATCGATCCCGCAAGAACCATCGACGGGATTCGATTCCATCGATCGTTCTTCGCGAGCCGACGTCATCCGACGTCAGCCGATTATAAAGAAAAAGAATTTAAATTAGTTGTTTCAAGAAAAAATCGTATAAATTATTATAGCAATAGACAAAAAATGAAAAGTTTCCATAAAATCAAGATTATTCCTATGTTCGACCTGGAGAAATACCACTAATTGTAGAGTTAAATAGATTTTATATTAAATAATATTTCAATAAACTAATTACTAGAATTCCATAAAGGGTATTTTCCTGTTTAAAATATAAGTTTGCGAAGATTACTTCACAACGACTGATCTACAGCAGTATACCTATGATGGAAACAATTTCAATATTTTTTTACTTGCAGTAGTAAATCTTTCCCACCCTCATGAATAATCGCTCAAAGGCCTGATAGGAGAGAGCTTCCGTCACTTAATCTATCTTCTCGTTTTTCTTCTTTTCGTGTAAATCTCTCCTGAAAATGTCATTTTGATGGTGAGATCGGTGCAGAGATGGTGTTCTCTCTCCTCTCTCTCTCCTCTCTCTCTCTCTCTCTCTCTCTCTCCCTTCTCTGGTCACGGAAAGGATGGATGGTATTGGAGCCCAGTATCTTCACGTGGAATCTCCCAAAAAGAGGGCATCGTTCCAGTAAGCCTGCCCATACCTTCTGAACTCGCATCGATGGGACGAGGGTAGGATTTACGTCGAGCCTCCAAACGTTCCGTCAACGCCTGCTCCCTCCCTCACACTTCCTCGACTACATCTCCACCCCGATGTCAGCTTTCGTAGATGTGATGTGGATATCCCGGTCAACTTTGGCCCTACCGCGGGGATCTTATGCGTATGATGACGTCATCATGGTACGACCCACATAATTTAATGGTAGAAATCGCTTGGGCCGCACTCCGGTGAGTGAGAAAATGGACGTGAAAATCATTTGGCGACCATGGTTGGGCAGTGGGTTGTGCGATAAGAAAATAAAACTTTAATATGAGCCGGACTATTTTTCGACGAGAAAAGGAAGTATGTGAAGGACGATATCATACAGGGGGGGGGGGGGGGGCAAAGATTCCGATTGGACCCTATCTTTTCTGGAAATTCAAGGTCTTGATGCTGAAGGCGAAGATGGATGAGAACAGCACGCTGAAGGCGACGACCGCCATCGCCACCGCCCACAGGAAGTCGTGTTTGAAGCCGAAGTATCTGTCCAGGAACACGTCCACTGGCTCACCATCGATCGTGTCAGAGATGTCTCCAAACTGCGAGGCGATCAGGCCGTAGAGAGTCCACGCCACGGGGCAAGCCCAGCAGTACCATCTCCACCAGATGGGAATCCTCTGCGAACCACACAGAGAGAGCGAGAGAGAGAGAGAGAGAGAGAGTGAGAGAGAAGCGTGAGCAGAGTCCCGCACGCAGAGAGGCCATGGAGGACGGGAGGAAGTGCTCACCGGTCGGGGAATCAAGAAGCCGGAGAAGAGGTTCCATATGCCGTAGAAGGCGGAGGAGACTATGGCAGAGATGTTGTGGTTGGGGGTCATCCCCACGGCCATCATCCCGTAGAAGGTAAAGTAGAGGAAGGTGAAGTACATGAAGAAGATGTACCAGCAGAACTTGGCCGCCGTCCACTCGAACCCGATCATGGCGTAGACGATGACGCCGTAGACCACGGCCTGAAACAGGATGTACGGGAGCTCGATTGCCACCTGCGAGATCCCCAATGGAGCGTCGTAAGGAACGAAGGGTTCCCGGCTGGTGAGGACGATCTCGAAAGATTTTGCGGAGCTCAGAGTTCACCTGGCCAAACGCGTACGGGAAAGCCGAGTACATCCCGGCAGCTCTCTCCCGGTAGAAGACTGTTCTTTCGATGCTGACCACCGGCTGAACTGTCTGAGCATTTTGTACCCCTATGAACAAGACTGCACAGTACATGGATCCCATGGCGTTGAACAGATCCTGTTTCCTTTCCCTGAAGCCAAACATTTTCAAGATCTGAATCGTGATCCAAGAATAGAAGCACACCTGAAGATCAATTACATCGAAAGAATCGAGTCCAGCCATGCAAGCAGTCATGCTGTAAAATTTACGATGAATGGATAAAGGCAAATCTTACAGCCGACTGATTTGCACTTCTTTGTCTGGCAAAATTTAACGGAATATGTGAACATATTAAAGCCAGTGTGTAAGGAGCTTAGGTTAGGTTTGGTTACCTTCGGGATCCCAAGTCCCAGAAGATTGTGCCGAACAGCACGGCGATGACGGTCGTGAAGAAAAGCCTCGTAGCGGTGTAAGAAGGATTCCGCCAGTACGACATATGTTGCTTCCACAGGCAAGCCATGCACTGCGTGAAAAAGGACCGTGAATACTGCGTGGGGAAGTCAAGGTCACTGGAGCCGGGAGCAGGCACGCTCAGCTCCTTGATTAGAGTCTTGTTCCTCCTGCCATTGGCATAAACAGGTGCTTAATGCGCCGAAGAACTAAGTCGTCCACGCAAGCCAGTGATGAGTGGAGGAAGAATGCTTATTCTCTAATCGCGTGTTACCCTACGACGCGATCAGAACGGGAGACAGATGATCTACTCACTGGTAAAGCTCCGAGCTCTTGTATAAATCTGTGAAACTGACACCAAGAGCGTCTTCTTGTCCCAATGTCGTCACCTCCAACATCCATGTTGCAGGGTTGTAGCCGTCTTTGATCTTGCTAACTCCTCGGATACCCTTCGAACGATGATGTCACAGACGTCGTCAATAACACCATTTTTCCAAGGAAGCCGCACAACCCCGAAGAGTGGGGAACGGTGATTTTCATTCCCAAAACCTTACCTCGAAGTACTTGATCAGCTCGCATGATTGGCGTCCCAGCGGACCGACGTATATCTCTTCTCCTCCCCGCTTCATCAGGAAGAGCTGCAGGCAAACGGAAGGCATGAAGTCTAGAGAGAGAATCCGTGAGAAATGTCGGAAGAATGCTGAAAGAAGTCATGTTACCTCGTCAAAAGCTTCGAATATGTCTATGCTGGGTTGATGAATTGTGCACACGACTGTCCTTCCGGTGTCAACGGTGTTCCTCACCGTTCTCATGACGATGGCGGCCGCCCTAGCATCAAGGCCAGAGGTGGGCTCGTCCATAAATATTATGGACGGGTTGGCGACGAGCTCGACGGCGATAGTCAGCCTCTTCCTCTGCTCGGTCGAGAGGCCATTGACGCCGGGCAGCCCAACGAGCGCTCCCCTCAACTGTGTCAGTTCCACGAGCTCCATGACCTCCTCGCAGAACATCTGCCCACCCACCCGATGGTCGCAGCAGCGAGGTTTATCACCACAATTCCGCAATACAAACACGAAGATACGTATCTGAAACGTATCATCCTACCTTTCTCGTGTTGGAGTCGACTTCGGCCGGTAGACGCAGCCAGGCAGAGTACAGGAGCGCCTCGTAGACGGTGACGTGTGGCGAGTGGATGTCGTTCTGTTCACAGTAACCAGATATGCGAGCGAACGTCTCCTGCTTCTTGGGGTACCCGGATATGGTTATGCTCCCTTCAATGTATCCTCCGGTTTTTCTCCCGGACAGTACGTCCATCAGCGTCGTCTTTCCAGCGCCGCTGACTCCCATCAGAGCTGTGAGAACTCCTGGCCGGAAGGATCCGCTCACGCCCTTCAGAAGCTCCAATCTGTCCTCTACAATCCCTTCCGCTTTCATTTCCTGCGAGGAACATTAACCAAAATGTTTTATCTCTCTTCACTTAAGCGAATATTCTTACGTAACTTATTAGTTAACGTGCTTATGAATAGAAAGAGGCTTACCGCTGGCATGTCGACCGAGTATCTGATGTTATCAAACTCCATGGAAAGGGGGACGAAAGGAAGAACCATTCCTTTCTTGTCGGTTTTCAAGCTGCCGGCTCTCCTGGCAAACGATGCCTTGTCATCAATCTTTCCTGTTGCCAGAGAAATCTCAAAGCTCGATGAGAGGGTACAGCAGATGGCGAGAAAATAGATTTTCGGCAGGGGTCATTGGACGAATGGTTGGTTACCACTGGATCGCTTTCCTCTGGACGACAGTTCAAGCGATTGGCCAGTCAAGTTCTCGTGCTTCTCATTAAGTGACTCTTCAGATACGGTCGCCTGACCCTCTCCGAGCGCTGCAAGAATCAGACGCAGAGCAACATGAACAAGGATTCTGAGAATCACGGACAGATTTAATGCATGAGGAGGAGCTGGCTCGTTGAGCTTCCGAACGGAGGAGGGAACCCACGGTTGAGGTACTGGAGAGCCAGAGTGCTCAAGAAGTTGAACAGAAGAATGTATCCAACGAGCGCCCCTACTCCAATCCAATACCACTTTGGCTCGGTGAAGACGCTGCGGGACCTCAAGACTAAGATTCCAAGCGGCTCAGTGTTTCCCGGGAGAATCTGTGGAATCCATATCGTGTCAAACACGGACATTAGTTCCCCTTAACCAAAAGCTAGACTGGTGGGAAATATTATAGTAATCAAAGTCAAAGCCAGTTGCGAGAAGTATATCTTTTAGCTACAAAGTCCAATTATCCGATTTAATCGGAACGCTTTCTACCCAGTAACCTCAAGTGAATATCAGAGATAAGTTACGCGCCAGACGGGCCGTCCAACAGCGCCAGAATAAACCCAAGATTATCTATGTAATAGGCTCAATTTGAAGATCGGGCTGATAACAAAATCTTAAATTAATTGTCAATGTGTAGAGCTAAACTTCATCCATCGTAGTTCCAAGGCCAATGCATGCCATAAAATTAGGCGCTATCCTGGCAACTCTAGTACTCTTCTCACCTTGTTCCAGCTTTTGCCGAGGAATTCATTGACGGAGATCCCGTACTGTGCGTACATCATAGGAGAGACCCACATCCCCCATTTCCACCATTTCTTCACATTCTCTGCAGGAGGATAGAGAATCGAGTCATCATCTATCTTGGTGGACGCGTTTTGGACGAAACGGTTGACCTACGCTGTTCGTTGGATCCTACCTCGCGCAAGAACGAACCCACCCAGCACCATCACGACGAGCATGGCGAAAGATCCAAACGTGTTTGCGATCACCATGGTCCTGCCCAGCGAACCCACCAGCCGGAAAAGACCATTCGCCATCTGGCTCGACAGAAGCAGCAGTAGGTATTGCTTGAATAATCTGCATGGATGAGAGGAATTCCCAGGTCAACGCCGAAACGGTCAGGGATCCAAGCTCCTGATGTTCAAAATCCACGGTGGTCTTCACCTTGCTGCGCTCGGATCGAATCCGATGGTATAGTAGGTCATGCATTCCCAGACTGCAACTTCCGCGAAGGTTATGGGGATCCTCAGAACCCACGACGGCAGGGCGAAGGCCCATGCGGGGTAGAACAGAAGGTCCCTCTGCTTGTAGAAAACTGGTAGCTTGGCTATGGTCATGCCGAGCTCCGCTAGCCCATTGAACATAACGATAAGGATGGAGAAAAAGAGTGCTCCCATGAAGATGGTTCCATCAGCCACCGAGTCCCGGGGCATCTTCGTCCTCAGGAAAACCGTCGTGCTGAAGAAGCTCAGTAGGAGTAGCTGAGTTCATTAGGAGACAGGATCAGGGAACCAGACGACGAGCAGGAGGGGGATGCGGAGGAGAACCAGTGGAGAACCAGTACCTGGCAGGACCTGAAAACGTAGACGAAGGAGTTCCTCTTCATGAGAAGCAGCTCTCTCTCGATGCAAGCTTTCAGCAGCTCCTTCCTGCTGACACCGTATTTGGACGTGGTCAGAGCCGCAGGGTGGCTCTTGCTCCTGTCGAACGGCACCGAGAGCTCCTTCTTCATATCTTTCCCAACATGGAAGGCCTTGAAGGACTCGGCGAACTCGTTCACGGGAACGAATCGGTAAGGCTCGCCGTGGCGGGCCCAGTACTGCCCTTGGTCCTTTCTCGACGTCACCTGGCGAAAATTTCCAGGATAAAGATTCTCACGTTATTTTTTGAGAAGATCATCAAAACGTATTCACAGAAACAGGGGAGGCGCTGACCTCTTGGAGGAAGTCGGCGATGCCCTTCCTCTCCGGGCACTTGAAGCCCATGAACTCGAAGAACTCGAGGACATACTCGCGGGGTCCCTGGTAGACGATCTTCCCATCGGAGAGGAGGATGATGTCATCGAAGAGTTCGTAAGTCTCCGGCGCTGGCTGGAGCAGCGAGATGAGGGCAGTTCCCCCGAGGATGTGGATCGACTGCCTCAGAGCCTTGACGATCTGGAAGGTGGTCGAACTATCCAGTCCGGTCGATATCTCGTCCATGAACAGAGCTCTCGCGGGTCCAACCATCATCTCCCCTGAGATGGTTCGGCGGAAGCTTCTTTAATAGGGAGAAATAGAATGGAAGAAGGATCTTTAAAACTCTCTCGTTCTCTCTCTCTCTCTCTATATATATATATATAATGTCTATACATATATTACCTGTTGTAACGCGCTTCTTTTGGCCGCCGGAGATGCCCCGTACCATCTCATTCCCAACCATGGTGTCAGCACAGATATCCAATCCCAGGATCTGCGGAGGAAGATTTATATCAAATAAGAGGCCAGGAGTCAAAGAAGTAACTGAGAAAGTTTCTAAGGAAATCAGAGGCCTGCCTTGAGGATGTAGTCTGTCACGACTCTGGGTTGTTGGCCTTTTATTGCAGCGGCCTGTTTTAACGAAGATAGCCGTCAGTCGCTCCACCGGGGAATTTGAGAGAGAGAGAGAGAGAGAGAGAGAGAGGGAGAGAAATCTTAGTGAAGAGTTAATTACCTTCATGAAGACGTCGACGTCAGGATCCGGCTTGATGTTGGCCTCTTTCTCTCTTCTCGACAACTCCGACAGCATCTCTGCGATCGCAGGAGGGAATTATTCACTTCATAATCTACGGGAAATGGTTCTGGCGAAAACCAGGTGGAACAGAGCTCACCGAGACGCGTTCCTACGCCCTGACATCTAGCAGAGAAGGTAAGTGTTTCCCGAACAGTCATCTCCCCGATGTGGAGATCATACTGGCTGATGTAGGCGGCTGTTCTTTCCGGGACGAACTCGTCCAATCCGTGCCCATTGTAGGTTATGTTCCCGGAAACCTTCTCAAATGGAAAAATGTGAAGCTCGCGACTCAGCTGACAAATCGGATGAAGAAGATGATGAAGATGAAGAAAAACAAGAAGAGACCTTGACGTCTGAGCCCAGCTTCCCAGAGAGAGCCAGCAAAAGGGACGTCTTGCCAGATCCCGGGGGACCCAAAAGCAGAGTCATCCTGAAGAACATTGAAAACAGAGATTATGGGGAATTCTGAAAGCCATGGGCCGTGGGAGAGAGCGAACTCGATCATTCTCATCCTCCACACCTGCGAGGCTTGATGGTGCCGCTAACATTATGAAGAATGAAGATCGGCTTCTTCCTGCTGGGAAGGATGCGGAGGGCCGACGCCGCGAGCTTCAAAGACACCAGCAGTTCGAATCAGGCCTCTGAGAAACCAGCGCGTCATTGTCGAGTCCTCTGAGAAAACCTTTACCTCCAGGATGTTCAAGGCGGAGTTGTAGATTGTGGGAAGCGCTCTTCCCCCGACGCGAGCTTCCGCTGTGATGTTGAGGTCCTCGAAACGCACTTCGATCGTCGGAAGATCGATACCCACTCTGCACAAACCAGAGATAAAAAAACAAGCTCAGTGTTGAGCAAAAAATTCAGGCGGTGATAATTCTACCTGATGATGGGAATCGGAAACTTTCAGAAGAGAGGAGGATAGTTTATATGTAAGAGTTACCGATTAATGCGATCCCTGAGCTTCAGCAGGAACCTTTCATTATCCTCGTCTGCGATCCTGACCAGCCTCTCGAGTAGGGTCCTCCTATCCTGGTTCCCGAGGTCCTTTATCTCGATCTCCCTGTGACCGCCTTCTTGGCCGACGAGGATGCCCTTCCTCATGCGGTTGTAGGTAGGGAGCTTCTCCAGGGCTGCCCATTTCAGCGCCTCCTCGTCGTCCTCGTCCCTGGACGACCTGGAGAAGACGTCGTCGGTGTTCCTCCAGCTATTCCGTCTCAGGCTCCCGGCCCTGTAGAGGCTCTCCGTGTCCATCTCCACCGAGCAGATGGATCGGGCCTTGGAAGTCGCTGCAGCAGCCGCAGCTGCAGCTGTTCTCGTTCCCTGCTGGTTTGAGGATGAGAATGCGGCCTGGTTAAACCCCTGTGGGCAGAGAACGGAACCCTGTTCAATGCAGGGGAAGCGAGCACGTCGATGATTACCTCTGGAAGTTTTCGCCGCGTGCCCCTCTGGTGATTTCTTCAATCAACTAGCGAGAGAGAGAGAGTGGATGCGAGAGAGTGATGTCTCTTTGTGCTTCTCCTCTCTTTTATGCCCGGCGAGGAAGAGCTCGGCTTAACTTGAGAACTGTCCACCACGGGCAATTCGGGTGATGTCATAATTTCCGAAGAAAATGCAAAGGGGCCCAACCCGCACTAAATTTTAAATTTCAGACGGCTGGGAATACGACGTAAGCAGTGGCGTTTCTTCCATCCTATCTCCCTCTATCTCTCTTTCGCTACACCTGCCGGGCACCATCACCCTACCAAAGACGTTGTCGAATCACATGCCGGAGATTCAGTGTCTGATTGACTGATACTAAGATCTCAACGAATGGTCATCCTCTCTCTCTAAATCGTCTGTTTCTAATTGACTGCCCCGTCGCCGTTGGAGGTCCGGCGGAGAGGAAGACGGTGGCGTTGAGGAGGAGGCAGCGACGCTGCCACCCTCGTCGCGTTTGCCATGTCGACAATCCGCCGGTCTGGTGAACAGGGCACAGCGTCCGCCGGCGGATCCGATCCCGTTGACCAAAAAAGGGAAAAACCCTCGGTCGGCCGTGTTTCGTGATGCATCAACGACGTCAGCTTTGACAAACTTGCGAGATGATATGGAGGGGCTCTCCAGGGAAGTCATCAACATCATGAATGAACTCATGGCCTTCTTGAGCGACACGTCTCCCTCCGCTTTCCTCCCTCTCTCTCTCTCCTCTTGTGGGGAAGAGAGAATCATGAACCATGGGAAATATGACGCCAGGGGCCTCTCCACGTGGGAACCCAGAAGCCTCCGATTTTAAATCTTGGCCGCGCTGAGGTCAACTTCTAGAAACGGGTGAGCCGGGAACCTTGTGAGGTCAACTTCCAGAAACCGACCCGTAGAGAGGGATGCGTCACCCGAGGGACTTTGACGAGATAGCGGTCTGCCATTACCCATCTTTTGGAGACTGGATTCACTACACCCGTCAGATCCCCTTCGGCCTGGATGATTAAAACGCATTGGCTTCTGCGCGTTCCGGTCTGCGCCGGCTATCCGGTTGCGTCATTGGTAGCGAGAGAGAGAGAGAGAGAGAGGCAGGCGGAGAAGCGGTCACAAGAGAGAGAAAAATTGGACTTTGGGACTAAATTTTTAATGAAACCCAGAGCCAGCTTAGGAGAGAATCTAGACGGATTCGAGCTGACCATATCCGACAGCCATCATAAATGGGTCGGTCTTTTACAGCTTGATGGTAAAAGCGACAGCCAAAGTTTCGGGGGACAATCCTTTCCAGAGAGAGAGGGGTGATCAGGACAAGAGGTTAACGGATCTCCACAGACAGAATGGAACGAGAGGGGCACGACTGAGTCAACCCCGAATGAACGACCAATGCCCGCCGTTTTGATGCAACTCCCGGCGGGACGAGGCAACTCAAAACCACCAGTTTGCCGCCGTGCTCACTAGTGCAGAACCATTTAACGTACGGCGTCGAAAGGAGAACCGCTAACACCGGCGCCCTCTCCGGACCGCACCTCCGTGGACAAGGAGTGGACTAGTCAACGTGGAAATCTCAGACAAGTTCTACTGGTTGCCAAGCGGGCCCCACTACGGATCAAAACGATTCCATCGTTTTGGGGACCAAAAAATAAGATAAAATGAAATATAATAACAATAGTAATAATAATAATAATAATAATAATGATAATGGGATGCATCGCGGTCACTCACTTTGGGTCTCACTTGTATGGAGATTTTTCCGTAAGAAAAATATTATGTAATAAACAAAATGATGGACCATACGCAGTAAAATACAATTTTGAAGAAACAAATTAACTGAGTTAGCCCTAGTTTAATCTTCCGGTGTCTTTCATGTGAGTTCATGTTTGAAGGATATGGTCAGTATGAACCTATTTTCCGTTCAGTGCTAGATTTTGTGGCCCAAACACCAAAAAAAAGCTGGGTCAAGCCTGGCAGAGGCTGGCGACTAGCATTCGAAATAAATTGTAATTAATTAACCGATTGAAGTAAGAAATCCAAGACTCGGTAGAAGGGGTAGGGGTCTTCCCTATCCATTTGAAGGGGTGTGATCGTCCATTCTTGTTCATATTTCGGACAGTGGGAGATTAGTATGTGGACGCTGATACTTCATCCGCTCTGCTTAGCTTGTAGGAGAATGCATTCCTATAGCCAGGTCCTGCTCTCGACGGTCTCCTAGATTCTGCCAACAAAGCTGCCAAGGGCCTTGCTGCTGAGCTCCCCGAAAAAGTGGAACCTGATGGTATTCGTGTCGGTCTCCATCTCCTTGGGTCCCACCACCACAATCAGCGGCATCTTCTTCTTCTCTGCGTTTCTTATGAGCTTCGACAGCTACTCCACTTGGCAGGCTCGACTCGGATCCCATACGATTTCTGCCACGAGAGGACCTTATTTCACCCGGAATGCCGGCGCAAGTGAATAGTGAGATATCACCAATCCTAGACCCAAGCTCAGAAGCTGCCTTGAATGGTGATGTATGTACAAATTATAGAACCGATCTTAATGTTCTGCATTCAATAAAATAAGATACTTACGAAATGATTGCATGTTCTGTTGAAGATTGCCAAGGCCTGATAATGTTTTGGACCATAAGCCTAGGACTTTCTCATCATATTTCATGATTCAAAATACAAAACCTCGTTGATGGGTCCCTATTGTACTCTTTGTGATGTGAGGAAGATAATTGATTGAGCCAAAGAAATATTTTACATGGGTGCAATAATGCGAGAAGAAGACATTTGTTGGAGTTGAGATTAATCTCCTGTTGGGTTCTGCTGGGGTTCAATGGGCTCTTCAATCGGAAAATTTTGATTGTCAGGGGAATGTCTATTCTTTGTTCTACAGAGTCTTAGCTAGATCTTGTGTTTAAGAGGAGGCTCACCGTCATCTCATATCGTCAAGGCATGCAAAGGCATTGTGGCATCAAAGAACTGTATAGGACGATCTCTAGGAGAAAACTTGATTTGTATGAGGCCGTGTATGTAGGAATTTTCTCTGTATCAAGTAAGTCCCAAGTTTTCCTTCTCTTGTGTATCAATTTACATCAGACTTCCACTGTGCAAAAAGGGGGAGACAAGGATACTCCGCTCCCCAACAACTAATATCAAGCCTTCAAGTTTGAAGTGATCCCAAGTCCGAAGACACTTATTCCTGTGGGCTTGGTTCGAGAGATAGAGTGGGACCAATGATTGAAGATGGAAGAAAGCTCAAGATCAACCTTTTTGATAGAAGGGACTTCAAACTGTGAAAGATGCAGATAGTGGATTATCTAGAAAAAACTCTATCAACAATTACTTGGTTTGATGTTGGATGGTATATCCCAAGAATATTGAGAAATAATAGACAAAAAAATACTTGGAACATTCATTTGATAATGGCTAGGAATGTTGCATTCAAGATTGTAAATGAAAAGACTGCAAGTCTTATGGTAGCACCTCGACTATGTATATGAAGCCGTCACCATCAAATAAGGTATATATTATGTAGTCTCTCTTTATAATCGAAGATATGTCTATTGTGGAACACATCGATGAGTTTAATTCAACAATTAAGAAAAAGCTATTTTTCTCAGTCTTGGAAGAATTCCGAAAATCAAAAGCTTTGAGTTGGTTCACATTGATGTGTTCGGGCCTTCTAGCTTGGAGGCTGAAGATATTATGTCACATTTGCTGATGACTCAACATGAAAGATATGAACAATATGTTTTTTGAAAAATAAATCTGATATTTTTTTGACTTTTAAGAAATATTCAATGAATGCATGAGACAAGTTGCATGAGAAAGCATGTTGGACTGCAAAAGCTTTTTTGAGAAGATGTTAACAACAGCTCATTTCATTAATAGGGGACCATTCGTGCCCCTTAGACCATAAACTTGTTATCACCGAAACCTCACCTCGAAGTACTTGATCAACTCGCAAGATTGGCGTCCCAACGGACCGACCTATATCTCTCCTCCTCCCCGCTTCATCAGAAACAGCTGCAGGCAAACGGACAGCATGAAGTCTAAAGAGAGAATCCGTGAGCAATTTCAGAAGAATGCCAAAAGAAGTCATGTTACCTTGTCAAAAGCATCGAATATGTCTATGCTGGGCTGATGAATAGTGCACACGATTGTCCGCCCGGTGTCAACGGTGTTCCTCACCGTTCTCATGACGATGGCGGCCGCCCTAGCATCAAGGCCAGAGGTGGGCTCGTCCATAAATATTATGGACGGGTTGGCGACGAGCTCGACGGCGATAGTCAGCCTCTTCCTCTGCTCGGTCGAGAGGCCATTGACGCTGGGCAGCCCCACGAGCGCTCCCCTCAACTGTGTCAGTTCCACGAGCTCCATGACCTCCTCGCAGAACATCTGCCCACCCACCCGATGGTCGCAACAGCGAGGTTTATCACCACGATTCCGCAATACAAACACGAAGATACATATCTGAAACGTATCATCCTACCTTTCTCGTGTTGGAGCCGACCTCGGCCGGTAGACGCAGCCAGGCAGAGTACAGGAGCGCCTTGTAGACGGTGACGTGTGGCGAGTGGATGTCGTTCTGTTCACAGTAACCAGATATGCGAGCGAACGTCTCCTGCTTCTTGGGGTACCCGTATATTGGTATGCTCCCTTCGATGTATCCTCCTGTCTTTCTCCCGGACAGTACGTCCATCAGCGTCGTCTTTCCAGCGCCGCTGACTCCCATCAGAGCTGTGAGAACTCCTGGCCGGAAGGATCCGCTCACGCACTTTAGAAGCTCCAGTCTGTCCTCTACAATCCCTTCCGCTT